CCAAAGTTTTCATGCAGAACTGGGTAACCATTTTTGGTACACCCATAACAATAACGACGGATAGAGGAGCGCAATTCGAATCCGAACTATTTAATAACTTGGCTAAACTTCTAGGCTCCAATAGGATACGCTGCACTGCATATCATCCTCAGGCTAATGGGATGGTAGAACGTTTTCACCGTCAGCTAAAAACCGCCCTTATATCTCACTCAAACCCCAATCAGTGGACAGAATTCCTACCGTTAGTTATGTTGGGAATACGAACATCTGTCAAAACTGACGCACAGTGTTCAGCTGCGGAACTGGTTTTCGGAACAACTCTGAGACTATCAGGTGAATTTATTAACCCCAATACTAACAGTCAAAAACTTAATTTAGGAAACTACGTAGATCAACTACGGGACCATATGTCCAAACTTAAGCCAATTAATACTCGCGAACAATCGCGTGCCGTATATGTACCTAAAGACCTAAGCAATTGCACGCACGTCTGGATAAGATGTGACAAAATAAAAGCACCACTTAGCCCTCCATTTGAAGGTCCTTTCAAAGTCGTCTCAAGAAAATCTAAATATTTCGTGATAGAAAAACATGGAAACATCGACACAGTAAGTATTGATAGGCTAAAGCCGGCTTATCTAGATCATGAACCACCATACGTGTTGTTAGATCGTTTAACTGACAAATCCATTACGGAATCGAAATGCAAAAACGATAAATCTTTACAAATGACTAAAACGGTTCGCTGGGCACATCCGATTGGCCAATCAAGGATGTTGACAGTTTCAGCTGCAGGATAAAATCTAACCACGTAGCTAATCAGACCCTTCGTCTACTTGAAAATAACTTTTCTCCTCATTCCGCCTCACCTACAACTCCCCAGACCTTTTGCCTTTGATATCTAAGTGTTATGTTAAATATATTTTTTAAATACTGGACACATAAGCTAGGTATTCCGAAACGATGGCTGCGGATTTTAATCAAACTCATACAACTAACACTGGCAAATACAACGAATTCAAAAAGCAACCCAGGCGAGTTTTATAATTTCTTTTTCTGGTTAATTAACTATGTTGGCTGTACTTCTTATATATTTATATACGTTTTTCACGTAGACTGGCTATACATATATACCATATGAACTACTTCTAAAAGTTTTCGGTCGAAGATGTGTTTAGTAGCTTGATACGCTTAATACTACTATTAATAAGTGGTTTTCTAGACAAAACATTTTGGATTAAACTATGGTCAAATACTTAATAAAGTTCTCATCATTTTTTTTTCATGTTTAGGAAACTTACATAATGACTTAACCAGTTTTCCTACAGCATGCTTTTCAGTGTGATCATATAACCCATCTTTATTGGCAATATTCAGATTTTTTTTAATTTCTGACATTTAAGAATCAATAACCGTGAAGATATAGTACAGTGCGTTACTGTAAGGTTACTATGTCAGCCGCATTGATTCCACATACCTAATTTTAAACAACTTATAAGGGAACTGTCTAGTAATCATAACATTGAACTGACAATATGAATATCACGACTATGCTAACGATAAACCAATTATTATTAGTGGTCCATACAAAGTCCTGGAACTTAACATTAGCGTTATAAAAAAGACATTTTATGTCAATAACTGATATATATATACTCTTTGTTTTAAATATAACGTAAAATGGAAATTTACTAAACTTGTAGTTTTTTTTTCTATAGTAATAATATTCATGTAAACAAAGGACTTATACTTTTCCAATATGGCACTTTGATATATCAATCTGTCCTCTTGTCATTTTTTCTCTCATATGTGCGCGACTTACGGGCAACAAACATCGTATTGAAGGTGGGTCTGGTGAACAAAAACGCAGGCCCCACACGCACTCGAACCTCTGCCCTCCTGAATGCTAGACCGCGTGCTTAGCCGTTAAGCCACATCAGACCACGGAGGAAGTGACTTCAATATTTCCTTACACCAATTAATCACTCATAATACTAATGAGTAATAGGACTTACACACTTCTGAGGTGCAAACCAATTCGTTACTTGGATGAATTGACGATATATTGCTTCAATATATATTATGCATATCTAAATCAAACAAGAAAAGGGTATTTGACACAACTGTACTTGATCCGCATACTCCACACAATTTTTTTTGCTTCTTAACCGTATATTCCTTTCCGTTTTGTGGAGTATTCTGATGCACCCTTGGTTACGCACCTAGTTGTAAAACGCGGTCATCACAGGCTCAAGGTCATGCGTTTGATCGATTTTGTTAAAGAGTCCAACTTCTAGCAAGTTCACTCTTTTACATATATGCATTACAAAAGAGTATTTTTTTTGTTTTCATGGTTTTTCGTGCACAAGATATCTACACTATGTCTATTCTCTTCCAGAATACCAATCCGTTCTGGAGACCAAGCACTTACATGGAACCGAACAATTATCAATTACATTTATGTATTTCCATTTTGTATCTTATTATTTTATGCAGGCAGTGGAGCAGTTCTTCAGGTTTGCTTGATTTTCACCATCACCTTTGAAGTAGATTCTTCTTTACTTTTTACTTGAGGGCGACTCAAGAGGCAGGTGAGTAAACACCTGATAGCCGGTCTGAGCATGGAAAAATCGTACCTCACCAACATGGTGTTGGGTAGCCCGCTCGCGGCACTTCCTCAGATATTCTTATTCCACATTCTCACACTCTTTCTCTTGAAAGCACGCAGTAAACCGTCAGCGATAGTTGTAGAATAGATCACATGCTACAAAATAAGATGACAAGCTAGTAAGTGAAGAGACATCCATGGACTATCGTTGACAGCGTTAGTCGTCACTGATTGTAAATCAAACAGTGAGCGAGTTGATAATTTTCCCTTGGGATGAGAAATAGAACTAAGGCGTTTTCGATAGTTAGGTTAATCGAACCGACGTTCCTAAGGAAGTCGATTCTAGGGGGAAGCTAATGTAACAGCTAAGGTTGGTTGGTTCAGAGTTGACCCCAAACAACCAAGCATATGCCAAAACAGTATTGTTCAAGTGTTCATTCACTTCCTTGTTTTCTATAAGCGTTATATTCCCTATTATCTTATATTGAATGTTGAGAGCCTTTGTTTGTCTGAACAGATAATCCCATGCTCCACTGTCACCGCGCGAAGATCGAAATAAAGACCTATTCACTACTTGTCTGGTTTCTTCTATCAATAGCACGAGGGTTACCTTAAGGCACGAAAAGCTTCCCCTTGCCACCCAGAGTGGCTTGGGGATCGTTTTGCTCCGAACTTTTACAATCTGAAAACCCTTAAGAACGAGGTTTCTTTCACCGTTTCGGCGACGCTCGTTTATTTCCGCTTCTGCAGCTCTTCTCTTAATACGATCAGCTAGGCTGAGGTCCTCACGGACATATATTCCGGATCCAATCAGTTTACGTGAATTACTTAGAATCAGGTTCCTTTCTTCCACCGTGTTGAAGTAGGTGGTTTTTCTGAGGACTTTCGGAATCCACCTTTTTTCCTATTCGATAAAGCTTACAAATACTAACTCCTGAAACTGTATCTGGGAGTAGTTTACTTAATGATGTCTTAATATGATTGAGATCATGTTCAAATCTTGCCTTTGGTTCAGTATCTGAAAATTCTCTTATGAAAAATGACTGATCTCTCAGAGAGATCTGTATTTTCACGCGGTGAGGATTTTTCTTCTGATAAAGTCCCTTCCAATGTCTTGCTGACCAGCTGCGTTCTGCCTACAGCCTTTTTCTTCTTCTTTTTTCTTCTTACGGAAGTCCATTTGTCACCACTCAGAACAGCCACACCCGGACTATGTAGAACGGTGACAGTTTTATCCGGATCTTCTATTTCGACTAGAGGTGTACGACTGCCGATGTCAATATCAAGCGACACTTCACTTCTCGTTAATGTCAACGGAGATTTCACGTTCCCGTCAACCGCAGTCAGATGTTTAATAGGTCCAGTAGCAGCACTTACTACACTGACACATTCTTCATCGTCCGTGCTCCTGTTATCAGTGCTTCCGCCATCGTTTTTCTTGCAGGCCAAAGCCAATAGGCCCATAGCCTCCTGTATTAGTACCTTTTTATCCGTACAGCAGAACATACAAAGCCAATGCGAGTTAGGCTTCGAGCATCTTTTGTAAGCCGTCAGACTTAGTCGTGTACACATTTTGTGATACCACTTTTTACAGTCGTCACACTGCATTCCCTCCTCAACGGAGAACAAACAATTTGGTTGCCCACATTTGTGAGTCTTACCAACCACTGTAATTCGATTTAAAAGGTTTAAAAACAAAAAAATGATAACAATGTGAACACAAGTGTTAGTCAAGGACTAAAAACAGGTACTCCGGACAAAATGTAGCAAAATATTTCAAACTTTAACCAAAGAACTCTTAGTTAAAATAGACCAAGAATGCTTTTTAGTGCAATAAGTACCAAAGCAAGTATAATCACAACAAGTACAAAAATCACTGCCCTTTGAGAGTTAGTTCACAAAACAGTCTTATGAGTCATCCTGTAGATTCAGTGCATGCAGAGCTTGCTTTTCTTTCAAAGCATTTACTCTTGGTTGCCCTGCAATAGAAAGAAAACAGAATCTATTAACAACACCATACATGATGATTTTAACCCCGTTAAACTACCTCCGATTGAAAATTACCGAATACCTGAAACTGTACTAAAACAACAGGAAGCGAACCCAAAAAAATAAGTCGGTTTATTCAAGCTCGTAACAATGATATTAATAATGAGCAATTTAGATCTTTTAATGAACTGTCATTTTTGTTCTGTCAGATAGTGTAAATACCTCGTATTTCGTAACCCAACCACATTGTCGACTTTTTCGACATTTGATGGATTATGTGTATATTTTAGCACCTATCGGGCTAGGCGTTATTTTGACTTTGTGCAGCACCGGATATTGCATTTATATTCATTACTCTAAACGCAGGCTCGTTGAGCGCATCAAAAAAGAAATGCTTACAAAAATGATTAATGGTCCAGATGCTATTGTTTACAACACTCACTGGTGTAGTAATATAGAAACGGGCAAACCAAACTCTGCTGTGAATTGCCCTAAACCTCCAGGTCATGCAGTCAGCATTGGGGGATCCCAAGTGGACATATACTCTCGTCCTATACAATCACGGACTGATGTCTTTGTCCAGAAAGTTGGAAGTGAGGTGTTTAGTTCGTTGACCAATGAAAGGTGAGTCACTATGTTGTATGACATAAATGCATTTTATCGTTTTGAGGAATGTTTTGAAGTTTGTATGGTAGAAACAGTTGATAGCATTAAAAAACGTGCAAGTTAGCTTTTTTGACATGTGCTTGTCAGAGATACCTTACCCTCATAATTTTTCCGTTCAGAATATAACTTGAACTTTCTTTTAAGTGACCCACATCTAGATTTTATATCTTTTTGTTCTTATCGAACTGAAACTTAAATGCACGTTGTTGAAATGTTATTGATATTTACATCTCCAAATAGAATATGTTGGTAAGTTCGATTTCACCAGTTTCAGTTTCAGTTTCAGTTTCAGTTTGGGAAGGACAGGAGGCTCGATGGCCTATGTTAGTCCTGGCAATGGTGGTCTCTCAGTTGATCCAACTTTCTTTTGAAAGAGTCGACGGATGGAGCCTCAACCACGTGCTGAGGTAGTGAATTCCACTCGTTGATGATTCGATGGGAAAGTCGATAGTCAGCTGACAAGTAATTTGTTCTCGGCTTATGAACTTTTTTGGAGTGTCCTCGTAAATTCTCTGTTTTGGAAGACAAGAAAAATGAGGGCATGTTAGGTGCGAATTTATCACTAAGCAATTTGTAGACTGTAATCAAGTCGCCTCTAGTTCTGCGATATGACAACGGGAAAAGGTTCAGCTTGGTCAGTCGAGATTCATACGGAAGCTTCGCTATTGCGGGAACCAGCTTAGTCGCCATTCTCTGAACCTTTTCCAGAAGCTCTCTGTCTTTTTTAAAGCAGGGGCTAGCCGCTTGTATGCAGTACTCAAGTTTAGGACGAACGAACACTGTATACAAAGTCATAAACGTCTTAGTGTCGACATGACTAAAAGCCCTACGTATTGACCATAACGTTCTAAAACTTTTGGCGGCTATTGCACGGCAGTGTGCAGTAGTCTTTAAGTCTTGACTAACGATAACTCCTAAGTCATTATATGTCTGGACGACAGGTAGCTCAGTGTTATTCATCGTGTATGTATCTGTGCCTTGATGACCGATATGCATCACAACACACTTGGAAGTATTTATCGGCAACTGCCATGTTTGAGACCATTCAGATAACTTCTTCAAGTCATTTTGAAGTTCTAAGCTATCACTCTTACATCGTATCGTTCTCCATATCTTGACATCGTCAGCATATAGCAAGACCGATGATGATAGGAGACAAGGAAGGTCATTTACATACAAGAGGAATAGCACTGGCCCCAAAACTGTACCCTGGGGCAATTGCCTTATAAATTTCTTTATCACCGGAATGTGAGAGAAAAAAGTTGACTGTCGAGTGAATGCAAGATGATTTTTATCTGTCGGTGAAGTCTAATAATAAGTAGATGTCACTGTGGTAAATGCCTCATTCAGAGCAACTTGATAGTAAAAACCTAGAGAGAATAAGATTTGACGTAACAAAAAAAGTGATGTATCACTGATCCAGTACGACTATTACTCAGATTCGTTTGCTTATGCATAATGACTGGTTGTGTTAAATTGAGTGAATGATAAACCAGAAAATTATATTTAGTATTTATCTAACAGGAAAATTCAGGAATCACATATATACTAGATCAAAGCCTCTAAATATTACGTTTACTTTTAGTTTATTTTTGTGTAAAAAGAGGGTAAATATTTTAACACCTGTTATTGAAGATAAGAGGCACTTTTATGTAAATTTATCTGTTGATTACTGAAGTGTGCGAGATATGTTTTCGACGAATGTGAACTCGGTATTGCAGATCGTGTTGATAGATGTTTTCACTCAGGATTTCATCATGTAGAAGTTAGCAATTTTATAAAGATTTGAGTCAAGCTCTGACAAAAAACATAAGGGTCTGTTTTTATGCAGAAGATTGATTTTATCTTTTCTGATATCAATAAGCGCTTCCATTATAGACGTTCACATATATCTTGGGATCTGACTTTTCGTGTATACCATTTATGTGACATAGCGCTGAACACATGGGCGAAATATAGCTAGCTGCTTCACCTGACTTTAAAGAGAAACAAAATTTTGCGTGGATATAAATAAAGGTGATTCACATTTATAGATTTGTTAACTGGGATCTTAAGTCTTATAGCATTTTAGTTTAATGTAAGCATCTCATGTTTTGTTAGACATCAGTATTTAGTTACTGAAATGATATGAAGACTGGGTTAAAAATCAAGTTATATTAAGTCGTTGCCATCATCTTATCGATGAGAAATGAAAGAAAAGTACATATTTCACCTCTTAAAGAGCCTTTTATAGCTGGTAGCGGTATAGGCATTTTGAAAGTCATAACGTGTTCTAAAAGCAGTGTTCAGTATTTATTTAAGTGTAAATACTGGCAAAACAGTTACATTTTGTATTTTATATGGTACCTCAAAATCAAACTGAGCTACAGTACTAACAGAATTTAAACAAACCCAGTTATAAACATGAGTGCTAAAATAAAGCTGTTGTTTAGAAAAAATGAAGATAAAGATTTCGGATGAATATTGTAATTAAAAGACAATATAGTCTTGAATATAAGTAATGACAAACACCCTATACCACCTAAATACGTAGAAACGTATGAGCACTGATTTGTATTCATTTTTGAGATTATTTTGCTCTGAATACCATCGCAGTTACATCTTAGTAGCCCGTGGTTCAACCACCGATGCACAAAAATGTATTTATTCGGTTTTATTAATGATAGTAAGATCTCATCCGAGCTTAAATTTAATAGTTTAATTTTTAGATGCCTTTTTACGATCCACTCCAAACTTTTTTATCAAATTCTAAAACCACCTATCCCCTTAGGTCGCAGGTTTTGAACGTACCTTATCGTGATTATAAACACACCACACATTATGGCTCACCAAAGACCAAAAATTTCACCACAAGTATACCAAGTCATAGAGCCGTGAAATCCGATGGTATATACGTGAACTGTCCAGTTAAACCATTTCAAAAACCTGAGTCCAGCAAACATTATAACACGAGATACCAGTAAGTTGGCGCGAATTAAGGATGGAAAATTGACATCAAATTCGCGGTTCAACGTTTCAGAGGGTAAGCTAAAGAAAATAATATATCATAACGTTACTGCTTATTTATTGGATGGTGTTGTGAAACAGAATTGATGTACCTTTACGTCTTGTCATATTTAAAGAGTTAGGCTATCTAAATTAAACTGACATAAAACGCTTACCTATTGCACTTGCCAACCACTTTTTACTCAATTTACGACAAAAAGTGACAAAACAGAATTTAGTCAACTCTCTAATCAGCAAGCATCCCCCTGAACCAATAAAACTAACGTTAGAATTGACTGTAAAACCTCTGTCCATAAGGAACTAAACTTGGTAAATATTTGACAGAGCACTAACAATACGCAGGATGAGTTTGTTTAATGGCTTATTCTTTGCATAGTTAGAGGTTTGTGTGGAAGATTCTGCCGATCTAAAATCGTTTTTAGATCAGTCATTGCATAAATGTACCATTTATATTCATCAACGGGTAAATTTGATCGGTATCTTATTCCAAGGTTTCATTGCACACAAAAGCGTTTAAAAGATTGAATTATACTAATTTTGTTTCATGAGACAAATTAAAGCACGTAATTAGAACAACTGGCATTGGAATTCATCACTATCACTTGTAAAAGTTTGGGGATGTAATAGACTGAATTATTTCTTCCATGACATCAAAAAACAGAGGCTTAAACATAGCTTTAAAGAAGAAAGATCTACTTTAGTAAATTCAGTACATTCAGAAAATGGTTGTGCAGCTACTTTCTCTGTACTATGATCATCCAGTTAATCTAAAAATTACCTTTTAATTTGTTATCTTTATTGTTATGCAGTTATTTCCAATAATTAACAAGTTGCGTGTCCAAAAAACATATACATATTCTCGATTTTCATTCTCATTTAATCAACCTTATCGATCAACATATTAACCCTTCCTTTTCGCCTTTTATCTCCTCTTATTATTATTGTTATTTGATAAATTAAACTAGGAAGTGATCTTAGCTAGAACATTATTAAATTCTAGGAGTTAGAAAGCTGTTTCGTCCTGTCGTGAGACTGCATGATAGTGTGCATCAACGACCTCCACTAAAGGGGGTCAAACTTAGGACCTTCACCCTCGCGCACAAATGCTAAACCAGTAGACTATTAAGCTGGCAGACTGTGATACACCTGACCGACTTCAACTAATTCATGATACTGAGCAACCATACCCTAATGTTAAGCTAATTACTACAATTTGATTTGTATTTTTCGAATGTAACTTTATACATTCATGTCAAGGTATGATGAAGAGCCAAAACTTCAAAAGATGTTTTTGACGTTCGACCTATATTTTTGGGAATACTTTTTTGTTTAATAAGGTGTTTCAGAGTGTCAAGTTTATCACCAAGAAAGTTCGTAAGAAAGTCCACATAAAATAGTATGCTGCAAAATATACTTAACTGATGTTTCATTATTTTGTTAAACAGGAAGGTATTGCTTCATGAATATCAAAAAAACAAACGGCATATTCTCAAATGTATGCGGTATACTTGAAAACCTTATTACCTGTTATGAATGTTCATTTCGTCAGCTGCGTGTTTTAGTCGGGAAATTTCCATTGCCTTTCTAGACAGAGTCATTGATTTATGTTGATTGAATCATCCAAATGAGATAATGAAACTTAATCAAATCCATCTGCTTGAACAATAAATTTCCCTTACCTTTTCACTACCTTATTTGATTTGACTAATCTTAAGATAGATGATTTTAATCTTTTGTGGATTGAAATTTAGCTTGTAAGCTATTCTTAAAATGTTGTTAATTACTTACTTACGCCAGTTACTCTTCGTGGAGGAGCATAGGCCGCCCACCAGCACTTACCATCCAACCCTGTCCTGGACAATCTTTTCCAGCCCTTTCCAGTTGTTACTCATCCTTTTCATATCTGCCTCTATTTGCCGACGTAATGTGTTCTTTGGCCTTCCTTTTTTCTGCTTCCCTTCAGGATTCCAAGTTAGGGCTTGCCTCGTGATGTAGTTTGATGATTTGCTTATTGTGTTAATACAGTATTTAAATTACTGACTAAAAGTTGAATCTATGTAAGCTCATTCAATTATTTATTACATACATAAGTTGTATTACATTACAAAGCACTTTTATTTATATGAAATCGGTTGAAATAATACGGATTTATATTTTCTGGAATACTTATTCCAACTCATATTGGTTGGATTGTTAATAAGGTTTACAGTTCAAGGAGTTTACCATAAAAAATTTCATATCAATAGATATTTTTGTTAGAGTAAAATAAGTAAAACTTGCTATTTTATTTGTAGGGGTTGATTGAATCTTTCCAGTGATATCAAACATTTCTGTGGATCAGTCTATTCTGGTATATGTATGTCCTCAGTGAATCAATTCAATATTGCCATTAAACTACAAGCATTTTTATCCAGAGTTGAATAATGATTAGTAGTGGAATGCGGAAATCTCGCATCGTTTCTTCCTACAAGCTATTAATTCTCTGAAATCAGTGGCTAACTGGTTAACGAGTTAGCCATTTGAATCGAAACGTACAGGGTTAAAGTATCAGAGTGCGAACATTATCACAATTGCAGACAAATCCAACTGACAAGTTTCAGATAGAATGCAACACCTGTCCTAGATTTCACTTCTAGCCACTAACTAACTATATTTGTTAAATTAATCACAACTCGTTTCTCACAATTTTAAATAATGCCAAACAAACATCCAAGATGTATGAAATTAATGAAATTCCATAATAATGATAAGAGGAATGTTGTTCCGAATAGATAATTTGCAAGAATACGTAATCACGTTAAAATGCATTGGAGTATTTATGGTTATTAATCATAGCTGAATTTTTATGGAACATCCATTTACTTGAGCTGTTAGCATATATTTAATGTTGGTTAAGAAGAGCCAAATGTACAAAGTTATAACTTTGAACTTTACAGTAAATATGCCTAATTAACTACCATAAACGTTAAATATGAATTTTTCGATTTAATGATTCAATATATTTTTAAACTGATATGACTTATTCATTTTTATATTGGTTGTTTGAATCTTCCAATTGATGTTTAAGACTGCAATTGATCCGTCTCTTATTGGCATATGTGCATCCTGTGCGGATTGCTTCAATATCGACTTCAGTCACAAGCATTACAAGCAAAGATAGATGGTGGCTAACAGTGGAATACAGGACGCGTGTTTCGTCCTATTTTTGAGACTCATCATATGAATGTGTGTGCATTCCAGAGTTGGCGTTCACAGTAGATAAGTGGATAACGCGATGGTTTTGGAGCGAACAGTAATGATTTCATGTCCCGGAGTGAATATCAACTTTGAAATGTAGGTACATCCAGTGGACGGATCCCAAAATTAGGACGAAACAAGCGTCCTGGATTCTACTGTTAGCCACCATCCATCTCTGCCTTTGACAGGATATATATTTAAAGTTTTCATGTTATTATGATAGTAGCACAACTCATTCACCAAGTACATATTTTTTTCAATCCATAATTAAACGATATTTTGATTGTAAGGCCAATCACTGATTCCCGATAACAATGAGTTTTTCCCACTTTTTTTAATAATCATTATAAACCTCTTATTACGCAACAACTATTTAACCTTACCTAAAGACTCATGGAACGTTTGCACATGTCACTTTTAGAAACTAGCCTTAAAACATATCTCTTTAGCTAATTAAATAAATTACAATCCACTAGCCTGAATTTTTATAAATTAAGTCTCTTACTCATTCGAACACTGTCAAAATAGTTTAGAGATTGATAGAGATTATAAGATGATTGGGTAGTGTAAACTGTCTCTTTAAGTCGTCCTGATTTCGATGGAAGCTATTTTCAAAGCCAATCCATCAAAAGCTACATAAATGTTTGAATGTAAAATTTATAAACAAAAAATCTAATTACATGCATATATCTGTGACATTTCAATAGTAGAATAATATATCAGGTAACAACTATGTTGGTGATAGTTCGAAAGCCACACACACCACCTAATTCTATTTGATTGACCTAATATTATCAATAATCTTCAAGCAAAAACATTTCTTATTACATAACTAAGTACACTAATCTGAGATGCATTATAGAGTTGGCCGTTTCTTTTTGTTGTTGTTGTTGTGCGAATACCTACGGTATAGTAAAATCTTTCTTTGAAAAAACACATACGAAACTAATCAATTTTGTTTGTTTTTCATTTGTTCACATTTTTCAGGTCGTCTTCATTGTTATTCATATTTCTTTATTTATGTATGAATCAACTGTTCATTTTTCCAATACAATAACTAATACATTGAATAACAAAGTTGGACAAGCCTTTTTTTTTAAAAAAGATTGAAATAGGTATATATGAATGCATTTCATTTCATAAAATTGCTTTGAATTGTATATATTACACATGAGAATTATGGTTGAGACTATAATTTAATGGACGAACCAATCAGGAATAATATAAAAGGTGTCGGATTTTGGCGTGAAATTCACTCATCCATTTGGCTAAATAGTGTCTTGGCATTAGAGCTGATGTCAATTCGTGATGAAATACCCAAAAATCTAATTCCTAACCTTTAATCATCAACTGTAAATCACAATTCTAATTCCTCATACTGGTTTATAACCTTCATTTGATGCAAGTTACTAGGTGAATACTCTCAAGGTCAATTTAGTTAGCGTCTCTCAAAGGTCATCCATAAATTATAATCTCATTGAATTATGCTAATAAAGTTAATTTATCAGTTCATTATTCAATATTTCCTTTTGTTTTATAATGTGCACATTAAAAAAATTTTTTTTTTGTTTTTGCTTTGATTGCATTTTTCAATTGTTTACATTTGATGAATCCATTTTCTATTGCTTTTCACATCTAATACATAACACATTCTTACTTGTTATGCATTTCTAGTTGTTGTTGTTGTTGGTGGTGGTGGTTAGTTCCACTTAATGATTTTAATTTATAATATTTATATTTATTTATTTTTATTATTTATTATTTTTTTATTTTCCTCTGTTGGTGTATAAAATGGGATAAGTAAATTTTGTTTTTAATCACTAAGCCTAAATTGATAAAAACAATAAATTACTGATTATGTAATTAATGATTTTTTTCTTTTTTATTATTGATTTTTAATTTCTGAAGTCATTGAATGTCATCTGTTTGTAACTATGTTGAATAAAGTATTATCTCACCTTAATCTGATTCTTTATATTTTGTTATGAATTATTGTTATACCTTTGATTTATTAACCCGCTAGTTTTTCAATAGTTAAAATCATATGTCAAATGAAGCTAGACCACCATGGAAAAACTGGAAGTGTTATGACTTTATGTCCGGCTTTATCACGTGATTTATCCACCAATCAAAATACGACTTATACAATCTTCGCACTGTGCCATACCAATGACGTTCGACCGATATGAGGAGCCTAACGTCCTTATTGGTCCTATGTCCGCCCAGCCTGTCCACTTGAGTCCAGAACACCAATACCAGCTTTCACTATGCGAATCGAATCGAATCATTTATTTCGGACATACTGTGTTTATAATATCAACCAAACAGATTGCAAAGCACCATAAAATAGGAAATAACGTTTGTACACAATAAAGCCAAAAAGTGGCTATGAATGTGGGAGGCAGTAGTCAATAAACTGAACATAGTTTAAGAACCGTAAATCGTACAATAATAAAATGTAGGTCAAAATAAAGCGTATAATAAGAGGGATATAAATGTATATAATCTAATTATTGAATAGTTATACCATAAGAATGTATAGATAATATTAGTCAATTAATATGTCTCAGAAGTTACTCGTGATTTAATCTTCGCTCGGATATAACAGCAAGCACTGAACGGTCGTTTTGTTCCAGTATTGGACTCCTCAGAAATGCTCATCCACGATCCCACCCCCCGCGAGATTTGAACCCAGTACCTAACCATTTGACCACTAGTTTTTGTTCAGTATAGACAGGGGTAATTGTCTCAATTTGGTTTGGGGTTTTAATGGTGATGAATATCATTAAACGACCGGCCATCTTTGTAATTTTTTGTTTAGTTAATTTTTTTCATCCCATTTTTCAATATTTTTTATACCGTTTCGTTCATTTAAATGGCTTGTTTTAAATTTGTTATAATTGATCATTTATGTCTTAAAATTGTTATAAAATCTCAGTACTTGTCGACAGAGTACATTTTCTTCGAATTATGGAGGATAGTAACATACAAAGTACAAACTTTATCGTTTCTCACGATTTCACATAAACGGAGAACGTATTCTTGAATACATTGTATCTCGTAGCGTTCCAATCAATTGAAGCGTTAAAGACCTCCATCAGAACTTATGAAAGATCTACGAGGCGATAAATTACTTAGTATAATCTTGAGATTAACAGCTCATGATTTGGATTAATGAGTGAATAGCTTTGATGTTAGAGAGATCAAAACTATTCAATCTTTTAGTTTAGTAAGCTAACAGAGAGAAAATAACTTACTTGGAACTATTATCCGATTGATTCTCGATTCCAAATTAACTCAAAAAGTCATATGAATTAAGTCAGTCAGCTACAAAGTAGGACCAGGCACATATATACATCGGTCCAAGTTGCCATACCTCATTAACCCAACAAGATGGACACCGGATCTATAAAAGTAGTTAATTCGGTGACGGTAATATATAAAAAAAAGATTGCAATAAAGATATAGTACACGAAGAAAGAATTAGTTGGTAGAAAGAAAGATATGAAGCGGTTTTAATCTCTTAGTTTAAGAGAAGACAGAGCCTGTATACACCGACGCCATTGTGATCGATTCTGAGCCATGTCACCCAGAGTCTCCAACCATTGGTTACGATAGTCACACCGACCCCAAACAAGTAGTCTGCATCTGCATAAATAAAGTATAGCTAACAGGATCGTAAAGCACAAGAATTGAGAAAATTATAATCATTGTCTAAAGTAGGACATTAGAGTAGAAAAGTGGAATCTAAAGGTCACTTTTAAATTACAATAAATTTGAGATAGAAAAGAATATAACACCAATCTATACATTAAACTAATGTTTGTGATTCATTTAATAAAATAGGACTAAAATTAAGTGTTAGTACAGTACAAATTTTTAATAAAGCTAGACAATGTGCGATAAAGTAACTTTAGTTGTTTGTCACTGCTTTGTTATTTCTCTTTTCACATCATTCTTGTATCTGATATAACATGGGTATAGCTTATCGACTGAGTATCAAGTCTAATGGGGATTTCATCTTGATCATCAGTTGTATTATTGTATTACATTAATTTAACGTTGCAAATAAAAAATAATTTTACTCTGTCGTTATATCAACTTCATGGAGGTGAACTGAACAAATGAATCAGAGGTTGAACGTTGAACACTTCAATTACAGGCACCATATTTGGATCTAATCGTTTATTGTGTTACATTAAAAAAGAAATCAAGCATGGTAGATCCCTTAGCATATCATATTTCAGTCGTCATCATCATCAGTCTTTAGGTACATAATTGTTGAAGTAATTAACTTTCCGTCATCATGTTGAAAGTTTGAAACTCATTATGCCTATTTCGGCTTCAGATGCTAACCAGTATAAATAACCTTTTTTACTGGAGATTGTACGACATAACCGAGTGTTCGACTTCTTATTTGGTCACCTAATTACATTATTAATTGTGTTGTACTATACGTTACTTTAACTAAAACTATTTCAGATAATCTAATTAAGTATACTTCTACATTGATTGATTACTCAGTAGTGACTAATATGGTATTTGTCTAGTCTATAGTGATGATCAAGTTCTACCAATAGATTTGTAATGTTGTAGTAGGTTGGTTTCAAGACACTCCCTTAGGCTTCGCATATTGATCGCCCTGATAACCATTATTAAGTCCCATCGGCGCATGAATTCAGGAAACAATACGAAGTGCCAACCACAGTTTACTATTGGATAACATAGATCACTAAGCCACAAGCACGCCAAGCAAATTGGTTCAGAAAAGTGAGTGAGTGAGTGAGTGAATACGCAGGCCAATGGAGAGCCGAATCAGTTATCAAGATTCAAGCACATACATATACATGGTAAAGTGATGCAAAGCTGAGATCGCCGTTGCCAAAGAAGAAAATGAAGCGAGGCGGAGGAAGCAAGTGAGCCAACTTAGTTACATAAAGCGTGACCTAATATTTATAACTAGATAAAAATAAGCTGCAGACATGTGATGAATAGGATAAGCAATACACACACATGCGCTCATGTCAAAATATTCAAAATTAATCAGCGAATAATCAGCAAGGTCAAAATGTGACTCAAGAATAATGAGTAAACTGATCTATCCGGAAGCTAGAATAACCCATGTATACTTGATATAGCACTGAACAACACAATGTAATGATTAGTATCGCTGAGTTGATATCATACGAATTGCGCTTTGATGGCAGATAGTTAGAGACAATCAGTAGGAAGCCTTGTTCGATCTAACTATCTTACTAGTTCGTACTTGTTAGCACGTCTGTTAGCTTACCTGCAAATTGTGGGAACTATTGCTTCTCATGTGATTCAAACACCTCGTACAGCTTTACAGTTTCATGTTACCATTGACGTATTCGTGTTACAAGGGATCTCCCGCTTAACTATGATATTTACACAAGCTAATCACTAAGTAGTGACTTAAGAATGTTTCTAATAGATGACAGATTGTTAGCTTTCCTTTATAAAAGGGAATAGTGAATCGCTTCTTACTGCTTTATCACACAAAAATGATGTTATCTGAAGTAATGAAAGCATAATTAATGTGTATAATTAATATTGGTCAAATCCTTTAGGCAATTATCGTTATGACTATGTTACATCCACTATAACTATGTCCACTAATACTGTTGCTGTATAAATACCAACGATCAATAGTTCGTGCCAAATTATTACTCTTTATTAACCTGAGAATTAGAATACTGGAAAAGTTTGCCAGTTAACTCTTATTATTCCATTTTATTCAAACTTAAAATTTCACATGATCTTACAGACAAATTTCAGGACTATAATAAACTATCGGTAATAAACATCAAAATGCACACAACTAAGGCATTTGTGTTACAAATCTGAATTGCAAGTATATGAGTAATTTGCCAAAATATATGGAAAATAAAAGTTTTGGCAACAGTTAATAAATCAAACAAAAGTTTACAATTAAGATAATATTTAAAAAAACATACCATAAACCGACTGTTTCACAAAGTGTTATAACTTGTGACCGCCGATTAGAGGGCAGTGAATTATCGATCGGACCAAGGACGCGTAAACACGTGCCAGCAGCCTAGAGTCCTGATTGGCCCTGCTTCCTGCATAGCCCAGCCAGTTAAGTCCAGAACACCAATCTCAGCCTCTGCGATATGAATCAATGTATTTCAAACATACTGAGTTTATATACCAATCAAACAGACCACAACGTACCAATAAAATATGAAACAACATTTGTACAAGAATTAGCCAAATGTGGCTGTGAATGTGGGAGGTAGTAATTAATATGCTGGGTATAACTCAAGAATGGTAAAACGTGTAATAATAGCTTATGGGTCAAAATAAAGCTTATAATAAGAGGAATATGAATATGCATAGTTTAGTTACTTAATAACTATACAATAGAAATATACGTTTAGTATTAGTCCATCAATGGATCCCAAAAGTTACCATTTATTATTCTTGTCGGGACATAACGCAAACACACATAATAAATATATTTAATAAATCCCTAATGAGTATCTTTTAAAGTTTCCGATCTTTGTTTATTCGCTTAACTGTAATATGTAGTTGATAACAGTTAAAATGACGAGATAAATAATTCAGTGATAGTAGTAATTTATATGATAAGCAACAAAATAGTTATTTAGCAAGAAAGTTTGAATAGATTCAATTTGTTGATTATCAAACTAGTAGTCTGTATTTTACAATCTATGTTAGCACTTGTCTCACACCTAACATGATGTGATGTTCAGCATTCCTACATTTGGACGAAATAGATATTCAGTTGATCCTTGTTTTCATTAACTGCCTGACTATAGTCAGTTAGTTGTGTAAAACGTCTAGTTGGTTAAGCGCCTGGCGCGAGACTGATAGGTCCTGGGTTCGAATCTCGCGGGGTGAGGGATCGTGGATGCTCGCTGATGAGGAGCATCATACTGGGACGGAACGAACGCTCAGTGCTTCCAGGTTTTCCATGGTGGTCTAGCTTCAATTGACTCATGATTTCAATCAAAAGCTTAACAATCTCCACAACACCTAAAATGAAAACAGTTTGTTAGTTAGCTTAAATAAACTTTATTTTAGTTTATTTACTTATCAATTCATTAGTACCAGTATAGATCACCCTAAAGTAGAAAGGAAATTTATCAGTTTAGAATGACACTAAAAGTAATTAACAGTAATAAATGTCGAGTTACTAATCAAAAGTGTCCACGTGTCGGAATAATTTTTATAAATCTTTATTACTACTTTAAGTAGGCAAATTAGTTAATCTAAAATTATCGGAATAGGGATTTGTGAAGATAGTAATTTTAATAGTTGGATTCACGAGTCGATCTAAACTAGATCACAATTGAAAGCCTGGAAACACTGGACGGCCGTTTCGTCCAAGCATGGGACTCCTCAACAATGCACATTCATGATCTCGCATGCGGGACTCGAACCTTGAACCACTCACGAGACCGGAAGTTCAGGGTTCGAGTTCCGCATGCGGGCTCGTGGATATGCATTGCTGAGGAGTCCCATACTTGAACGAAATGGCCATAAAGTGCTTCTAGGCTTTCAATGTTAAGTTATGTTAGGTCGGCTCATCAATCCAATTATTACAATTTAAAATTACATGACTTTTGTTTTTCTGCAGTCCTGTGGAGACAGTACGACGGTAAACATATGTCCGTAAGGTTTCTTCATACCAAGTTTTTGTTTAAGTAGTCGATAATGTGCTGTTTCTCGACAAGACATCTATTGTTTCAATTTACTTTACAAGTCCAGCTCTTCAGGGAATTAATCTTTTACCATTATGCTAAGAAATTGTAATCAGAGATTCATCTCTCCTTGGTTTAATTGCTTGGAATAAATAACTTTGTTGACACGACAGTAAAATGACTGAAAAATTGATTAGGTGTAATTAGAGTCATTATGAATTGCTGTGAGTGTAAATAATTGGGGGAGTTCGGATCGATAGTGGTTACTGAAATAATAAAGTTGCTAATCCAATGAAAAGATATTTAAGGTTTGGATAATTTAAAAGTATATTTAGTTCGAAAAGATTTCAGTTTATATGGGGTCGTGAAGATTGTTGAATTCCATTGAAACCACAAACCGATCAAAGTTAGACGACTATCAAACCCGTGGAAGCACCGGACAGTCGTTTCATCCGGGTATGGAACAATTTAGCTCTGTACATCCACAACCCTGCAACCTGCAATCGAATCCAGTGGTGTAAACGTCCATGATAGTAAGTGAGACTGAAGGCTCTGGGGTTGATTCCCGGTTCCAGGGTAGCAGGCGCTCACTAGTGAGTTATCTCATACTAGAGCGAAACGGCTATTCAGTATTTTCACAAATTTAATTATTGTCAAATTTTGATCGTTTAGTGATTTTGATGAGATTTCAGCCTATAAAATATTTCCGATTGGATTGTTGAGGTGTTCTCTAATTCTTTCAAGATGTATGTATGCTATCATTCAAATTCTTTAGTTCGATATCTTTCGTCTCTCAGGTTTCAAAACATTTTACCTTGTTAGAAGCCACATCTTTTATACAGCGTATGCATTGTTTTCATTCTAGTAACTCTATTTCTTGCCAAAATGAATTAGAGAGTTCAATAGACTCTTTTTAGATATTCATTGCTGAGCTACTGTAAATTAGGTCTAAATAACTATCAAATGCTGTTTGAGTTCTAATTTTCCATCTGAAATAATTCTGCATAAAGTATTCAAATTTGATGATCTTTTTCCTAGGAATTCTAAATTTAAATATGTTCACTTTCCAAATCATGAATCAGAGAATTATAAACTTTGTCTATGAAACTGTGGTGTACTACTGATCTTGACAGATATAAGTAGTATGTAACATCAATCAAAAGTGAAATGCCTGGAGGCATAAGGTTAAGAAGATCAACGAAATGAGAACGAAAACAAAGAATGATTGTTGTGGGATCGAACAAACAATGAAGCCTGAGACGATTAACTGATATTTGAGAAAGGAACAGTGAAGTTTGAGACAACTGATTGACATTTTGCGAATGAATAATTTACCGTATGGTTCTCAGATTTTACTAAGATGTTCTGTAATTTTGTATCTAAAATACATTTCATTGTCTCCACTTGTGTTTCTAATCACTAAAAAACTACTTATTATATTAAATTCAATTGGTATTGTTTACTTGAATCTTCCCATTGATGTTTAGGACTGCGATCGGTCAGTCTCTTATTGGCAACTGTTCATACTGTGCGTAATGCCTTAATTCACGCATTAATGCGTAATGGATAATGGTTAGCAGTGGAATCTAGTTTGACGCGCGTTTCGTCCTATTTGGGCATTACACACAATATGCACAGTTGCCATTCAGAGACTGATCATTTGCAGCCCTAAACATCAATGAGAAGATTTAAATAAAGAATACCAAGTGAATTTAAACTTAAAACCATTACACAAGCAAATAGCTATCAGGACTCAGTAAGTAAGTGGATGGTGTAATGTCTTTTGAAGCAAACGGTATTGGGTTTAAGTTTCAGAGTGAAATTCAACTCTCAGATGCAAGTACATCCAGCTGATGAGTCTCAAATAGGACGAAACGCGCGTCCTCAGTTCCACTGCTTATAATATTTATTATATTGCATAATGCTCATTAAATAATTAAGTCCGTTTAGAATGAAACGATGTATGAACTAAATCTTCACATAATTAGATAAAGACGTGTTAATTAATCAATTTTCGAACTTTGGAAATCTTCATCGAATGTTGAATTGAATCAATGAAAAAGGCTTATCAATCAGAAACAATTGAAATGAAAATAAATGATAACAGTTCAAAGATTGAGATCATTTTGATATACATAGATTAATAGATTTTAATTTATTAATTCATAATTAAATTGTATTGCGTAATTTATAAACGTTTGATCATTATTTACATTAACCAAACGAAGGTATTAAGTAAGTCTCATTCTATTTATGTGCATTATTATAGTGATCAGTATTGAATAGATTTTTCCAAATTGAACTCTCTTTCATCCAGCTTATGATAGATTTATGATTGTCGTAAATGAAAAAGAAAAGTGTTGAATCAGTTTGAGATTGATTAGTAGAAACGATTGTGGTGGTTTTGCTTTGCTGATCAATCACCTCGATAACTGTTATCATATAAATCTCAATGCTGTTTGAAATCAGAAGGTAATGAGAAGCAGCGACTATAGTTTATTTTGGTTAAGACTTTTTATTAACTCACTTAACAAACAATGTTATTAGAACAGTAACAATTCGTCTATTTCTTTGTACCGTTATGATCACTAGATCACATGACAGACTCGAGCTAAAATGTTGATCGGTTAAATATCACTTGATGATTCATCCTCCTCCTTCTCCTCATGTATATATGTACTCAAATCCTATTGTTAGTCTTTGCTTTGCCTTACTGAGCCATTGTGCAATTTGACTATAAATTTGCCTATGTATTCGCTCATATACACATATTCGCCTCTCTGTTTCAAATGAGCTTGATGTGCTTATAGCTTTGTGATCTGCACTATCAGTTAAGAAACTGTATTTGCTGCTTCTCATTACCTTCTGATTTCAAACAGCGTTGAGATTTATATCATAACAGTTATCGAGGCAATTGATTAACAAAGCATTTTGAGTTGTATATTTAAATATCTTAATCATCAACTGCCACTTCAACAGCTAAATAGGGATATCATGGTTTAACTCATTCTTTTATTGATTAAAGTATTCTAGAAAGTAGTACGACTTAGATATCAAGTTAATATTAACAGTTGAAGCAAAGACTTCATTTTAAATAGCTTTCAATGTCACATTGATGATGGGTAGATATTATGTATTATGCTCAAAAATTAACATTGTGTTATAACTCACGTGACAACCATGTATAAAAACCATATAACATTTTGTGTTAACAATCAAAATGTAGTTATCATAATTACTGGCTGGAATAAAGGATTATGTTTTCAATACAAACAAGATTAGTTATTAGCAAAGATGGATAATGGCTAGCAGTGGAATCCAGGACGCGCGTTTCGTCCTGTTTGGGACTCGTAAGCTGGATGTACCTGCACCCGAGTTAATGTTCACTCTGGGACTCGAACTCAGTACCGTTGGCTTCAAACGCCATCGTGTTATCCACTTAACTACTGGGTCCTGATAGCCACTTCACTCCATTGAAGTTTAATTCACTTGGTATTATTTTACTTGAATCTTCCCATTGATGTTTTTAGGACTGAAATTGAACAGTCTCTTATTGGCATAAGAGATTATCTGTTGCTTGTATATTTTAAGTCCTACAATGGTAAATTAATAGTTATTGAATTCCAATTCTTGACATAAGGCATTGTGGTCGATCAAAAATTGTATTAATTCAAAAGTATGACAGTGAAGTCATTACGTCCAAACGTTAATGTTATAATATACTAATTTGTTAAGTCGGCTTCCAGAGAACTTCAACGGAGCCTCCAGAGGCCCAAAACGGAGCCGAAGGGCCCTAACCAATCAGAGTATGATGGAACGTTCGAGAATTCCAGCGTGGCGTGCTACCATTGGTCGGTAGCATAATATTACGTTAACGGATTGGCTGAAATAAGATGTTGATTTAACAGACGCCAACATCTATAAATACCCTTGATTTTCTGTACTAAACTGAACTTTGGGATAAAGTGTTTTCTCTCATACTTGTGTCTTCTCTCTGGTGTTCAAGTCGCTGTGTAGTTCTAGACTGCGGGTTACCGGAATAGCTTAGGAAACTAATATAGCGTTCAATCCACACGACTTATCATAATTATAATTTATAAAATTATGGGACGTTACTTAAATTGGAAGGTTTTGGTGTGTTCAGATTGTATTTGGTACCATAATCCACAATTATAGATAATTAATAATTCCAATGATGTTGTTGCGATTCCAGTCATATAGCCAAACATAGAATATAATGGAAATATGACTGTAGTCTATGAATGTAGATAATAGATATTTCAGAGTTCAGTTATCATAACGAAGGGCAATGGAGAACAAAAGTGACATGTGTGTAATAGTGTATTTACGATCAGTTAACAATGCGTATTATGCTATGAGCAATTCAAAATGGAAAAGAGTGAGTTCAAGGTCATGCACTTCAACAACTTTCACAATCATTTTGTAATAAATGTACAAACTGTGAAAATGAACAAAATAAATGTAGATCATATCAAAAACTATTCACAAAAATAGTCTATCTGAAGTTTATACTGATGATGTCGTTCAGAAGAACAATGAAAACTTCACAACTAAACCATCCAGCTCAAAGAATAAAACTCCATCAACAAAATAAGTTTGTCGTGCTTATCTCCACAGCATACATCCATGATTTTTAATTGATTTAGTTAATGTATTTTGTCAAAAATATTTAATGGTACATTGAATAACGTTTAAAGTCATGTAAATTGTTAGTGTTTTTTAAGCGAATTAGTTTTCTACGGGATGGGGTCGCTAACCCCATGCTCAACCCTCCTCCTTCATCCAGGCCTAGGACCGTCAGTAGCTTCCGGAGGGACTCCAGGCGGGAAAGAACAAACCAGATCCCAGCGGAGGAAGAAATTAGGAAGAAGTGCTGGAAGTGGATAAGACACACATTGAGGAAAGCACCCAACTGCGTCACAAGACAAGCTCTCACATGGAATCCTCAAGGTCAAAGGAAAAGAGGAAAACCAAAGAACACATTACACTGGGAAATGGAGGTAGACATGAGAAAAATGAACAAGAATTGGATGGAATTAGGAAAGAAGGCTCAGGACAGAGTGGGTTGGAGAATGCTGGTCGGCGGCTCATACTCCATTAGAAGTAACAGGCGTAATCAATCAATCAATCATGTAAATTGTATAGTTGAAAGGTTATATATGTAATAAGGGAAAAGAAAAATCACAGCATGGTAGTTGGTTATTCTATTCTACTCGATGATATGTGCATGTATTTCCCAGTGATAGTCGTCTAGAATTCAATTTACCATTCAGGTAATTCCTATATGTATATATAAAGCCTATTATGTCTCAGTTTTCTATTGTTTTCCTTTTTCTTTTCAAGTATTCAGTGACAAAATGCTCAAGAGTTTAGAATACCAAACAAAACAAAAACAATTTGACAAACAGTAAATACATACATTCTATATTACTAAATATGTATCGCTAGTAATCATAGTAATCATAGTCATGATGGTATACACAATGAAGGAACAGATCGAAAACGTTTTTATATTAAGGTAACATATATTTTTTCAATGTACTCACATTGATCCATTCATGATTGAATAAGAAAAAGTAATAAAAACAAATGGGATATTGTTGTCTTTCTATTTATTATTTTTTTCTAGGTTCTTATTGTATTTCTTTCTCAAGTATTTCTATTGAATTTAGTATTCTACATCTTTGATTATATGTAAGTGCCATTTGAATGAACAAAGAATGAATCTATTGAATTGTCAATTTATTTTAGGCCAGTATTAAATCAATGGATTGGACAACATATATGGTCAATGTATTTGTTATGGTATGAATGATTGGATTGTTTTGTTTAACTTTACTTATACTTGATAGACTATCTGATCATGATTCAGATCCTTGACGAGGGTGATATATCTGGATCTGACAACAGTGAATGTTAAGCTTTCAATACAATTTACCTTGATTATTTGAATACATGAAGTTAATTATTAATAAAAGAGATGTTATTAATCTGAATGAAAAGTAAATTTGTTCGAATGGAAATGTATGCATAGAAAAGATCAGTGAATGAGAATGGTGTAGAAATAAGCATTCGTCGTGCATGGCAGTGATGTACTTTTGGCTAGTTAAATTCAATAAGACCAAATAGGTTGATATCAAATGTTGAGTATCTACGGAAATATTTTATTCAAATAAGTGATTTACCACAATTAACTCTCACTACGAACATCAAATTCACCCAAATCGAAGATGGATTTTACTGTCGAGTACCATCTAGCACTAAACTTATTATCTACGGTCTTCTACTAATTGCCAACATGAAAGAACATCGCGATGCTGACTAATATGTTTATTTTATTCATTTCTTTAAACACATAAATATTGGCACAAACGGGCACCGAATACATATGCACCACACAAGTCGCCAGGGTGCCCAAACCGAAACAGGTGGTTTTCTTAGGGGCCACAGCCTGAGCCTTCGACCTAAAAGTCTTATCGACAAGACAGTGGAGTAACGTTAGGAGATGCAATCCCATGATAGACGGTGACCGACAATTGGTTCATACGCGTTTTATTCCCATGTACAAAATTGGTTTAAAATCAAGGTTTTCCAACCCCCCACCAAGTGGATCCTCCATATCCACCAACCCAGTTAAAGCGACGGACATCCGTTTTTCGTCCTCTCGATTTCTTAAACAACACCCCCATCGCAAGAAGGCAGGGCGATCACATTCTAAATTGATCAATATGATTAGATCAAGGCTAAGGACAAGAGAATGTGGCAATAATTAGTACTCAGTAATCAATTTATATAATGATTTATTCATAATAATAACTAGAAATCCGTATTATTTCAGTTCATAATTTATTGTTTGTGAGTTATTGTCGTGTTTGAAAAACTGAGCATCACCAATATTTCTAATTCCTCAGTATTTTGTTTTTGTTCTGTCTACACGAGAAAAAAATGTAATTATTTAGCTAGAAAATTCATTAACGTCTCTCTCAATATTGATTTTTGGGTCAGCTACCTCTTCACCCTAGTAACTTGAAAGCTTCCTACATTTTGGTGGTGATTTATACAAGCAATCGATATGATATACCAGTATATTCTTTGGTAGCCCTACTTAGTATTTAAACTTGTGAATGATAAGTTTAGGAGACCTATTATTGTCTGAAAATTTAGTGTTCATTACGATAAACATTATTGGCTGTTGACGTCTGTTATTAAATACTGTTGGTTTAGTAGAATTGGATTGATTGAATTCTCCTAAATGATTGGTCATTCGTGATGATCCCCTAATTGAATCCATTTTGTTACTTTTGGTTCAACTCTCTGGACATGTGAATAACATATCAGGATGTTCGAACATACGAATCCGATTCAGTTATAATAAATAGGTTTGTTAATGCTTAACACAATCAGTCATGAAAATTGAGAAGACAAACAATGTGCAGAAACTTCATATTAAGGAGTGAATCGTTATGGACATTATTTATGCATTTGTATATAATGGTAAAGTGATCTAGATAAAAAAATACGTGGTTAGTAAACATGTCTAAATGAGTAGCTAGGTGGATTTAATCTGCCAATGCTTTCGTCTCTCACTTCCATGTAAAGTTAAGGCAAAATGTGAACTGTCTGGCACCATCCGACCTATTACCTGCGTACCTTTCTGAACAGCACTCTCTCGATTTAGTAGATGTGACGGTATGTTAATATTTGTTTTCAGTTGCTCTTTAACTGACAGTTGTTTAATATCATTAGGGGTTTTTGTGGATATTATAATAATTTCAAGTTGAGATCATGAGTCAATTGAAGCTAGACCAACATATTGTGGGACTCCTTAACATGTCGGCTCAGTGGTCTAGGGGCTAAGGGTTGGCGCGCGAGACCGACAGGTCCTGGGTTCGAATCTCTCGAGGTGGCATTGTGAATGAGCCCTGCTGAGGAATCCTACAATAGGACAAAACGGCTGTCCAGTGCTTTCAGGTTTACCATGATGATCAAGCTTCAATTGAATCATGATCTCAACTATTGAAATGACAGTTATTTGTTCGTTTACACAAGTTAGATTTGATCTCCACTACTAATAAACGATCAGTTGAGTTTTAATGTTGTGTCAAACTGTTTTATATTTCATAACTTATATATCAAATATAGTATAATGTCAGAATTGATTATCTGAACATTACTTCCTAATTTTAGTTTATTGAATGGCTATAATGCAGTTATTCTTTTAAAAGTTCCGACTATTGAAAGATTCTTCCCACTTAATGTAATTATTCTGAGTATTTTTGTAAGTATATCTTATAATTTATTTATTTGCCGAAGTGATTTATCCTTGTTTTTCTCTACCATATGGCGAGACTATAATTTATGGACGACCTTTGAGAGACGCTAACTAAATTGACCTTGAGAGTATTCACCTAATAACTAGGATCAAATGAGGGTTATAAACCGGTATGAAGAATTAGAATTGTGATTTACAGTTGATGATTAAAGGTTAGGAATTAGATTTTTTGGTGTTTCATCACGAATTGACATCAGCTATAATGCCAAGACACTATTTAGCCAAATGGATGAGTGAATTTCGCTCCGAAATCCGACACCTTGTATATTATGTCTGATTGGTTCGTCCATAAATTATAGTCTTGCATACCATGATCCATTTTAAATGAATAATTTAGATGTGAATAACTGTTACTCTGGTTACTCCCTACTCTAATTATAATTAAAAAAAAGCAAGTTTATATAAATTTAGGTGATTTTCATCACAGATTAACAATAGCTGATGTACTATTAAAAGCCAGTGAACATTGAAAAGCTGTTTTACTATAGTATATTAATCCTCAAATGTGTGAACTCACAACCGCCTCAGAGATTGAAACTAGGAACTTTAAGTTTCTTAGTGAGAACTTAACCTTTGTGTCATTAGGTTGAAATCAAATGATTCACTTTTATAGTTTTTATTAACCAGAGATATAAACTGACATCCGTTTGTGATAGCTATCTCAGTTCAAACATTTACATAAACGTTTATTCAATTAGATCCAATCATTTAGGAATAAATATAGTGAAATAAGTTTCCAACAATTAAACCATCTAATTCTTATGAGATTAACAGATGAACTTCAAGTCAGTAAAGCACAGTCAGGAAAAACTATGTGTTGGTAGATAGTCGGTGACTAAAATGAGTTTGTATGTCACTTGTTATTTGAGGATACTGGGGTCCATTTCTTAAAATGGTATGACACCATAGTTTTCCAGATGTTGTAGAAAAACTATGTATACAATGACTCGGTTCAATCACCATGCATCCGCTCACATTGTAATACATCTCTATCACATGAAGATGATGGGTAGGACTTTCCTAGTAAAGGCTATAAACCCTTGGCCTTATGGGAGGATTTTAAAAGCAAGAGTAAACTCTCGCAATCTTTCGACATGTCATGGCGTTTAAGGGAGGTATATCTTATACCCGCGCGGTGAATAACAACTATTATGACTCAGTAGCCTACTAGACAACTTACTGGCATTTGAGGTGACGGCCATTGTATTCAAGCTCTGCTGGTGAGATCACAATCATCTAAGGTACATTCAGCTAACGAATCTCAAATAAGATGAGTAAAATGACTGGTTTTCTAATGTTGGTTACTATACAGACAATAAGTTTATTCACAACATTGTAATTATATAAGCAATTATATGCATTTCACTGTTGTTTTTTTCACTTTTTTTCACAATAACCCATTTTAGACAATCTTCCATTCATCCATTGTGGTCAATATTACATATCAAAATGCTACAGTTGATGATGCTATTTCATTTATTATTGTTTTGTTAACATCAACAGTTCTATTCATCATTACAACAAAATATTCCTATGATATAACAGTCTTTTTCTATCAATATTTCTATGTATTTATAGTACCACTGATAGTTTTACCTATTCTTATTTTGATATTTACTTTCGTTGGATTTGAAATAGTAAGTAAACCAGTAATTTTATGAATATATATATATATATATATATATATATATATATATATATATATAGCAATCGGGTCAACAAAATGTTAACCCTAAAACAGGTCAATCCTGATTCAAGTAGCTCAGTGGTAGTGCTTCTGACTGATTCTAAGTACTGTGAGACCAAATTACACAGGCAGTATTAGTCCTCTGAAGTTTCCCGGTACATTTTACTGATGAGTAATGTCTAGAGCGATATGGTAGTTTATGAGTTTTTACCTTCGATTATTTTTCATAAAACGAAATATTCGTTCTATTCTTATTGAACGTGTAGGCATCATGAAAACACTAAGAAATTGAATGATAACTTTGTTATTGGTTATTAGTAATCACTTATTATTATTATTATCATCTTGTATTGGTTGTTTGAATATTCCCATTAATGTTAAGGACTTCAGTAGATTGGTCTCAAACTGGTATATGTGTGCATCCTGAGCGGATCCCCTCGATGTTGGCATCAAAAGCATTTTAAGCAGGGATGGATGGTAGCTAGCAGTTTAATTCAAAACGAGCGTTTTGTTTTATTTGGCATTCGTCAGCTGGATGTATTTGGATTCCAGAGTTGATGTTCGCGTCAGGACTTGAATCTAGTATCGTTCGCTACAAACACCATCGTTTTATTAACGTAGTTTCTGAATCCAGATAGCCAGTAGTTTGTGCAATGTAGTGAAGTTTAAATTCATTTTGTATCGTTTGTTTGAATCTTCCCATTGATGTTTAGGACTGCAATTGGACTCGGTAGCTGAGTGAATAACACGATGGCGCTTGAAGCGAACGGTACTAGGTTTGAGTCCCAGAGTGAACGTCAAATCTAAGATGAAGATACATCCGGCTGACGAGTCCTAAATACGATGGAACGCGCGTCCCAGATTCCACTACTTTCCACCATCCATCTCTGCTTATTATTATTATTATTCTCATCATCATCATTTAGTTCGTTGGTTTTACAACACTAGAATAATTAGAAATATTCCATAAAATACTAACCCCCCCGCCCCGAAATGTTTACTTTTTGAAAACAACATCTTCAATTTTAATTCATAGCTCTTAATTTATTATTTTGTTTTAATTATAACAGCTAACGAGTAAACTGTTCATGGTATTCACTTTTATACACTTTCAGTTTGTAAGTTTTCATTGATTTAACTTATGATTCAAAATGTTTATTCATTTATGCAATATTCTTAGCTTAGAGATACCAAAGTGATTGAGGTTAAATATGTAAATCACTGAATATGGACTTAAGAGAGTTGTGGTTGCTCATTTATATGTCCCATACCAAGACAAAAGGAATATCCTGGCTTTAAATTGTTGTCATTCCATATTACTTACTTACTTACGCTAGTTACACCTCGTGGAGGAGCATAGGCCGCTCACCAGCATTCTTCATCAAACCCTGTCCTGGGCAATCCTTTCCAGATCTTTTCAGTTGTTATTCATCCTTTTCATATCTGCTTTTATTTCCCGATGTAATGTGTTATTTGACCTTCCTCTTTTCCGCTTCCCTTAACGATTCTAAGTTAGGGCTTGTCTCGTGATGCAGTTTGATGATTTGCGTAATGTATATCCTATCTATATCCATCGTCTTTTCCTAATTTCTTCTTCAGCTGGAAGCTGGTTTATTTTCTTGTCATTCCATATAGTCTTCAAAAATTCAAGTATATCCGCGACTCGACCGCAGATGTAAAACTAGAAAAAGAAATGTGATGCTTATGATTTTAAGTGGTATTAATAGACAGGGATCTTTGGATTTGTATTTTGTTCTCACTCTTATTCGATATCATGGGATATCAGTGACTTAGACGAAACTAATATTTGTTATTTGACTAGAACTTGTGACACACAGCATCGATTGTCTCTTGTGATTTAACATTAAAAAGCGTTTACTCACATAGAAATCTGATTTGTGGTATTTTATTGGCACTGGAGATTGAAGAGCAGGACATGTTTATTTCATTAAATGTTCTTGAAAGAAACAAATTTCTCGTGTCTAGATATCGTTGTACCATAAAGGTTCACCGTAGGATAATGATTAGTGTTTAGTTTACAAAACCTCCTATATGAACAGAAATTACCATCAAACTCTTATGTTAATGCTTTTCAATTACTTACTTAAGCCTGTTACTCCTAATGGAGCATAGGCTTCAGACCAGCATTCTCCAATCCACTCTGTCCTGAGCCTTCCTTTCCAATTTAATCAAATTCTTGTTCATTTTCTCAGGTCTATCTCCATTTCCCGGAGTAATGTGTTCTTTGGTCTTCCTCTTTTCCTTTGGCCATGAGCATTTCAAGTTAGGGCTTGCCTTGTGATGTAGTTGTGTGCATTCTTCACTGTGTGTCCTATCCACTTCCAGCGCTTCTTCCTAATTTCTTCCTCCGCTGTGATCTGCTTTGTTCTCTCCCACAGTAGGTTGTTGCTAATAGTGGCCGCCTGGAGTCCCTCCGCGGCCTGCTACCAGTCCCAAGCCCGGATAAAGGAGGAGGGTTGGGCATGGGGTTGGCGACCCCATCCCGTAGAAAACTAACTGACTAAAAAACGCTAACCAGAAAAAATTATTCAAATTATTCAGCGACTACCTTTCTACAAATTATCGACATTTACCTTAGGGACAATATGTTTTCTGTAATTTTCTGATTAAAGTTATCTAAATCCTTTAAATGGATGCCTTAGAAATAGTAATTTGATCAATAATCAGTTTAAAGATTTTGTACTAACAGTCATTACATGTAGTTAGCTTTTCATTATGAAAGTAGTTATTAAATGAAATCATATTCAGTTTTTTACATATTCTTAATATGCAATTCGTTATATGACAAAGAATCGCCTTGTCAAATGAAGTACAATGAAATATATTAGTATACTTGTCAGTATTCAAGTTCTACAATTATAGAGCGAAAGTCATATGGTCGGAGACAGATTGACTGAAAAGTGTGTTCTCAAAGAACACAGTATACATTTTCATAAGTAGTATCCAGGAATATATCAATTTTTAAACGTATACGAAATTATAACATTTAAATGTCTTTTTCGTAACTAGAAAATTTCTGATTGAATAATTCTAAAATGGAATCATACTATTTAATTTTGATCAAAGTATAATGTTCAATTTATAGTAAAAGTAGGAAGGGCTATGATGTAGTGAATGGGTTTGTTTATTTATTTGTCATCTAAAAAAAAATAGAGCGTAGCCTATTGTTGTGTTTACCTAAAGGAATCAGTGCTCTTTATCTGTGTCAAATAATTTGGGAGGGAATTTTCAATGTATTTCATCTGAGCAACAGTAGATGTATTATAAACAAAGATGGATAATGGTTAGCAGTGGAATCCAGGATGCTCCTTTCGTCCTATTTAGGACTTGTTAGCTGAATTACCTGCATTCCAAAGTTGATGTTCACTCTGGGACTCGAACACAGTACCATTCGTTTCAAACACCATCGTGTTATCCACTTAACTACTGAGTCCTGATAACCACTTGCTTGTGCAATACCAGGTGAAACAGTAGACGTATTTTGATATAGTGGAGAAGATTTGTAGTCCAGATGAATGATTGTAGTATGAGTAAAAATGGAAACTCATTGACCAAATCATATAGCTCAGAGAGCGGAACCTTATGATTATCCCTTCAGAAATAGTGTTGATAAGTAACTGTAACTGTTTTGAAGGAAGAAACTTATGGAAAATTAATGGATAATTATACACTTAGGAAAGGTGGACATCCTTAGTGAAGATGTAAAACATTATATTGTTTTTAGTGTAAAGCAATAAGTGAATTCATAAGTTCACATTTTGATTATACTATACACAACTACCTTCAGTTTCAGTATTTATGTAAAATGTTGTAGAATTTTCCGATTGAAGTTTTATTTTGAGTGATATGCAAGAATGAATGAAATCAACACAATTCACTTCGCAAAAGAAGTAAATAAAAAAAGTCAAGTATTCTGTCAATTCTAGTTGACTGATAAAAACTATTACTTCATCTGAATATTCACTTTCAAAAATATAATGATAGTAAACATTGTCATGAAATCTAAACATTCTAGATTAAGTCACTTCAGAAAGAAGACACAATTGTAAACCTTCAAACTAGAATAAGATCAATAGGCTTCTGATTATCACCAGTTTTATAGTTGATATCAATTCATGATAAAATTCAGTTTAACTTTGTTAATCTAATTCTAAAAATTTTCTATCATTAAAAACAAACGTGAATCATACAACTAATTCTTGACAGTTAGTTTTTTCAATGGTTAAGATCATGAGTCAGTTGAAGCTAGACCACCGTGGAAAACCTGGAATTACTGGACGGCCGTTTCGTCCTATTGTAGGACTCCTCAGCAGTGCGCATCCACGATCCCGCACCTCGCGAAATTCGAACCCAGGACCTCCCAGGTTTTCCATGATGGTCTAGCTTCAATTGACACATGATTTCAACCAGTGAAATTTCTAACAATCTCCAAAAAACCCTTCTGATAGTCAGTTTTTTGTTTTGTTTTTTTTGTTTTGCTTTTATTTCAACGTAGTTCACAATCATCACAGCTCAAACACTTCAAGGTGGTCATGATGTTGAAGTAGAAATAGAAGATTATGTTCTAGGATCAATGCAAATGTTCATTGTAATTTTATGTTCATCATTATCATTATCAACATTATTTGAAAGAAATTTCATTGAAGAATATGATTTGTTTAAAACAATATTCTTGATATTCAATATTCCATTAGTATATTTTTCTATATTGGTTAATGAAACCAATCTCAAAAGTAAGCTAAATGATCATATGGATCAAATTACTCATTAACATGATACATTACAATATGAAATCATGAAATAAAAAAGTGGTTTTTATGATTTTATTTGCTAATAAATCCTTTCCAATCACTATTTTTTTCTTTACTCTTTTATACTACTTAATTGATTTGAGGTTGTAAAAACTGTCTATAAGAAGTGAGTTTAAATTAGACAATTAGTCATAATCAGGAGTTTGTGGAGATTTTACAAATTTCACAAATTGAAATCATGAGTCAACTGAAGCTAGACCACCATGGAAAACCTGAAAGCACTGGACGGCCGTTTCGTCCTAGTATGGGACCCCTCAGCAGTGCGCATACACGATCACGCACCTCGTGAGATCCGAACCCAAGACCTATCAGTCTTACGCCAAGTGCTTAACCAACTAGACCACTGGTATACGGTGGCGCAACTTCGTGGATTGGTTGAAGTTAGACATTAACACCATTGGATGACGGCTCAGTGGCTCATTTGATTATGTAACATTTTTAGCAATACTCGGCTACGATCTAATGAGTAATCAAAAATGAAGATATTAAGAACATGTGATAACAATATTTACCAGGTCTTTTCAGCTACTATTTATCTTTTTTATGCTTACTTCCGATTCCCGACGTTATGTGTTCTTTGGTTTTTCCTCTTTTACGTTTTCTTTTAGGATTCTAAGTCAGCGCTTGCTTGATGATGCAATTTGATGATTTCCTCAATGTGTGTCTTATCCACTTCCAATGTCTTTTCCTAATTTCCTGTTCAGTTAGTTTGTTCTCTCCTTTAGTAGGTTGTTGCTGACTGTATCTTGACAGCTGGTTTTGAGTATCTCGAGTAGATAATTGTTTAGAAATACTTTCAGGTTTTCAGTGATGATTGTAATAGTTCTTTAAGTTTTAGCTCCGTACAGTAGAACTGTCTTGATGTTCATATTGAAGATTCTAACCTTAATACTGGCTGACAGTTGTTTTGAGTTCCATATGTTCCTTAATTGTAGAAATGTTGTTCCTACCTTTCCGATCCTTTCCTTTACGTCTGCATCAGATCTTCCTTGTTGCTTTTTAAATGCTTTCTATATAATACAAATATTAGTCGTTATTTGGTTAGATCAAATCATATATATATAAGAAAAGACATAAATGAAGTAGTTAACAATAAATCATAACATCTGTAACTTCCGATTTACATTTATGAGAAATCAGATGAGAACTAAACAATCTTCTGCAAGATAATATGCACATGAATTCAAATAATAAACACCATATTCATTTCTGTTTAAAGAGTATAACACAAAAGAGAAAATTGAGTGAAAATACAGAGATCTTTTAATTATTTCACTTTTCATTATCAACAAAAGTTAAATTGGTATAATAGTAAACATTTGTAACACGGGTGAATGATATGGTTAGCATTATACTATTTGGGCAGAATGGAGTAATCAAAGTTTGATTATCTTTCTGAATAATATATAAGATGTTCACTTGACTTATAGATCTTTTAAGAAAGGCAATGGTAGTTACACTGTTAAACCAGTGGAAATTTCCTACCATTAGTTTCTTCAATCCTGAAAGGATACGAAAAAGAGGCAGGTCGAAGAACACATTGCACTGAGAATAGGAAGCAGATATGAAAAGGATAAATAGTAATTGGAAACAACTGGAAAGGTTTGCCAAGGATAGAGTTGGATAGAGAATGCTGGTGAGTGTTCTATGCACTTCCATTAGGGTAACAGGTGTAAATGAGTAATTAAGTTCCTTCAGTAAACTTTCGTAAGAAAGAGACAATCAATATTATATAAAGAAGGGAACTTATAGATTCATAGACTCATAGATTTATTCATTGGAAATCATAGAGAATAGATTATCTTGTTTATCTGATTCGGTGTCAAATCATAACGCCATGGAATTAATTTATCAACCCTAATAAACGGGTTACTTCTTCTTTGAACAGTACTTTTTGACATTTTACTTCTATATTTCACACTGATTTACAGCAAACTGAAATTGTTTAAAATGAGGATAAATTACAGATTTGACTTAAATGGTTAAAAGTATAAACACCTTCAAAGAATACACCAACAAAAATACTTTTGTACAGCTCAAACTGTGGAAATTCGGAATGATTGAAAGGATAAATGTAGGCTTGAATAATCTAGATTGAAACTGGCAAAATATTATTATTATTAGTGGCTTTATTCAATATTATATTTTTGGTACAATGTTGAAGATGCCACAGGTATTCGGAGTTTGACAACACTTTAACCAGTAACACCTTCTAATATGAATCGTACCCACCAAGTGAAATCAAAAGACAGAAGCGAGGAGGTTCGAAGATATATTTGATAGGCTATCAATATATCGAGGATCGTCTGATCTAATCTGGCTAGCGTTGTTGAGCACGGCATTGCCTATCGTGATCTGGTGTGGATGCATGACCGAGGGCCTTCAGCTAGGTGAGTCCATTAAAACTTATGTGGTCAGCATCCAATGTCGAAAACTTACAGAACTATTTATTTTGGGGATTTATTCACCGCTACAATGTATATATATTCACAGTACAAAATATTTCAACAAGTTTCCTTTTCTTATTTCTTTATCGAACCTTGAGATAAATACTGAGTGGTCGCCAGTTAGATGTTCAGTCAGCTACAACGTAGGATCAGGCACATATATGCATCAGTTCAGGTTGTCACACCTCATTAGCAAAAGGTGAACACCAAATTCATAGAAGTAGTAACTTCAATGATAGAAATGTATCAAAGAAAGATTGTGTATAAGGATATTATACAAAGAGAAAGAATTAGTTCGTAGAAATAAAGATACAGAGTGATTTTAATCTTAGGGTCTAAGGGAAGACAGAGAGCGTATACACCGACGCCATTGTGATAGATTCTGAGCCATGTCACACAGAGTCTCCAGCCATTGGTTACCCCAACCAAGTAGTCCGCATCTACTAACATGACTCAGACTACAAGTTAGCGACTTCAAGCACTGGTGCCACGTTTTGGTTTGACCACCCCTAAATTCCTTCCAAACATCCTCTACACTAGTCAGCAGTGCACGTCGTGGTAATCGGTGTTCAAGCATACACAACACGTGGCCGAGCCATCTCAGTCAGTGAAGACTCACAACTTCATCACTTGATTTACTATCATTTCCCAATACCCTGCGTCTAACTTCACTATTACTTACCCGGTGACCCCAGCAGATGCGAACGATATTTCTAAAACATGTGTGATCAAATGCTTGTAACTTACGAGTATCTTCTACACTCAGTGACCACAATTGTCAGCCGTAAAGTAGAACAGAACGAACTACTGTGCAACATACTCGTCCCTTAACTGATAGACGGATATATCGCCTTTGCCATGGGTGACGTAATTTGGCAAAAGCCAAACGCGTCCGACTACTTCACTCCCTATCCTTATTTCCGATGTTGACGCAGACCAGTCCTGAAGCAACAACTTGCATTTAGAGGGAAAGAAGCGCATCCCAAACAGTCTGGCATTATTGTTCAGTGCTACCAAATGACTCTGTGTTTTATCAGCGTCTTCACCAAACAGGACTATATCAGCTGCGTATTCTAAGTCGATAAGTGGACCTCCTGGAAGGAGATCAATAAACGAGAATTCAGTCAACGAGAATGTTATTTCTATCAACAGGTCTATGATGAAGTTAAATAAAAATGGAGAAAGTGGACAGCCTTGACGGACACCACTTGAGGTTGCAAAAATAGATGACAGTTCGCCATAAGCCCTGACTCGACTAATAGTGTTCGAGTAAATAGCCTTCACAAAGTTTATGTACTTCTGAGGTACGCCTTTCAATGACAGACACTGCCACAGAATCTTGCGGTCTACCGAATCAAATGCTGCTTTTAAGCCAAGAAAAACACCAATAAGCATACCTGTGTTTTAGAACCTGAAGAATGGTGAATATGTAGTCGATGCAGCCACGACCAGGTTCGAAGCCAGTCTGATGTTCTCATGTTTGTATTTCACGCGTGTTTGTTAGTCACCATGTTAGACGACGTCTCTCTTGATGCTTAAAACTAGTGTTTGCTAAAATTAAATAATTATCTGGCCACAGTAACAGCAGACGATCACCAATAACTGTTCGCTGAGCCGGGATACTAGAATACTCACCAAAATGTCTTTCCCTTTGGTTTAAGCTACCTACTTGGGTATTAAATTCACCCACTACGAGCACTATGTCTGACCGTTTAGCTTTCTGAAGAAGTTCAGAAAGTTTTCTGTAAAAGTCATCTTTCACTTCATCCCGGCTGCAGTCAGTGGAAGCATAGGCAGAAACAACGAAAACCCAACGACGGGTATCCCTACTCCTCTGAGTTCTTACGGAGCTGTTTAGCCGAACAGCACATAGAAGACTGTTAAAAGGGATCCACTTAATAGTGCTTGTTCTGCCCTTGTACTTAGTGCTACGCCCAAGCCTGCCAGTCCATGAGAACTAGCCATCATGTTGCCAGATAAAAGAAGGGTGTAGCTCGTCGGCCCTACGTTTTGCCGAGGTGAGGTCAAGTGGATGACCACACTAGGATCCTGTATGAGTGTTTCGAAGACACAGCACACATCGATGGTATGAGATTCTAGGGTTTTAGCCAAGGAGGCCTGCTGGTCGATATGACATAGGGTGCGTACGGTGAAGGCTCCAATGTGTAGTCTGGAGTGAGGTTTCAGTAGACCTGACATAGTGTTTTGAGCACTAGAATCGTTGGACATAGTGACACTTGGGGAGGAAGCCGAACGAAAAGGTTTAGATTTGAAAGTCGATGTAAGAGGAATAATAGAAACTGAAGAGGGCGATTGATAATGAACACAATGATCTTGAGTGCTGTTAGAATTATGAGGGGGGTTATCACTTCCCGATTGCCTACACCGTGGAAGGGTTCTTATGGAGGTACCTGAAAATGAAATTGGATTAGAGGTGGTCTTAGTGACCTGAGATCGTGACCGGACTACCCAAGG